GTGTCCTACCATGTGGTCTATCTTTGAAAATGTTTTTTGTGCACTTGAAAGGAATGTGTATTTTGCTTCTTTGGGATGTAAGGTCCTATATATTAGCTAAGTCCATTTGACTTAGTGCGTCGTTCAGTGCCACAATATCCTTGTTGATGTTATGTTTGGAAGATCTATCCATTGTTGACAGTAGGGTGTTAAAATCTCCTACTATCAGTGTGTTGTTCTCTATATCTTTCTTGAAGTCCTCCAAGATTTTTCTTATATAATTGGGTGCTCCTATGTTGGGTGCATATATGTTCATAATGGTTATGTCTTCTTGATGGGTTCTTCCTTTGAGTTTTATGAAGTGTCCTTCTGTGTCTCTTATTCTGGGCTTTGTTCTGAAGTTTATTTTGTCTGATATAAGTATTGCAACTCTGGCTTTTTTTTCCTGTCCATTTGCTTGTAATATTTTTTTCCAACCCTTCACTTTCAGTCTGTGTAGGTCTTTTGTTCTTAGGTGGGTCTATTGTAGGCAGCATATGTGTAGGTCATGTTTTCTTATCCATTTAGCTACCCATATCTTTGATTGGAGCATTTAATCCTTTTTCATTTAAGATTATTATTGATAGGTAAATATTCATTGCAATTTTTCTGCTTTGGACCTGTGTTTCTCTCTCTCTATTTCTTTATCTTCTTAAATCAGTCCCTTTTGCGTATTTTGCAATGCTCGTTTGGTGCCGGTATATTCTTTTAGCCTTCTTTTATTCTGGGGAAACTCCTTATTTAATCTTCCATTTTAAATGAGAGTCTTGTTGAGTAGAATAATCTTGGTTGCAGGCCTTTTCTTCTCATTACTTGGAATACTTCTTGCCATTCCTTCTGGCTTGTCATGTTCCTGTTGAGAAGTCAGCTGCTGCCCTATCAATGCTCCCTTGTATGTAACTTCCTGTTTCTCTCTTGCTGCCTTTAACATTCTTTGTCTTTGAATTTTGTCATTTTAATTATGTCGTGTCTTCAGGTGGGCCTCTTTAGGTTCCTCTTTACTGGGACCCTTTGTGCTTCCTGGACTTATGTGTCTTTTTCTCTTATCAAATTAGGGAAGTTTTCCATCATTACTTTTTCAAACAGATTTTCTATCCCTTGTTCCTCTTCTCCTTCTGGTATGCTTATTATGCAGATACTATTACACATTTTTTTTAAAAGATTTATTTATTTATTTTTTGAGAGCGGAAGAGAGAAAGAGAGGTAGAGAAACATCAATGTGTGGTTGTCTGTCATGCACCCCCTACTGTAGACCTGGTCAGCAACCCAGTTATGTGCACTAGACTGGAAATCGAATCAGCTACCATTTGGTTTGCAGGCCAGCCCTCAATACACTGAGCCATACCAGTCAGGATGGGATATTATTACATTTCATGTTTTCCTGCAGTTCCTTCAACCCCTCTTCGTTGTTTTTTAGTCTTTTTTCCTTCTCTTACTTTTCCTGGTAATTTTCTTTCTACCTATCCTCCAGCTCACTGATTCAATCCTTTGCTTCATCAAGCTTACTTTGATTCATCTACTGTATTCTTCAATTCAGAAGTTTTATCCTTCATTTCCTCTTGGCTCTTGCTGATAGTTTCTATGTTCTTTTTCATGCTAATGTATTTTGCAGTAATTCCTTATAGCTTTCCTGTAGTTTTTGGTAATTCTCACTGAGCTCATTGAGTTTCCTTATAGCCATTGTTTTGAACTGAATATTTGATAGCTTACTTGTCTCTATTTCATTTAGCATTCTTTCTGAGGACTTCTCCTTTCCTTTCAATTGGTGGTTGTTTCTTTGTCTTCCCATTTTTGGGGAGACTCTGTTTGCTTCTGCTTCTTAAGTTAATCTGTTTAACTCCCTGTCTTTGTGGTGTCAACTTCTATGGTAGGAGACCTATGTAAGTCAGTGGTGCAGTCTCCTTGATCTCCTGAACTTGATGCTCTTGGAATGCTCTTTATGCCATTTATGTTGGCTCTCTGGATATAACTGGGTTTTGATTGTTGTTGGGTCACTTTTTTGGTGGGCCTGCCCCTCTAGCTGTTTGACAGAGGGTCACTCCACCCACCATGTCGTAAATGCTGTTGTGCAGGTGCTCCCAGAACAAAAGCACAAAGCCCAGGAAATAAACCCATACCCACAAAAATAACTCCCACCTGCAATCCCCCATCAACAGTAAATGAACCAATATTAATAGTGGTATAAAGAAATTAGGACTATTATAAGGTGTGTGAATATGAGATGACCTAATGAAAGAAAAATTATTTTGAAAGAGTAGAGGGAGGAATACTAATAAGAGTTGGGAATCAGAACAATGAGAAAAGCCAAAGTAAAATGTGCATGATGAATATAAAAGGGAATAATGAAGGTGGAATGGAGTAAGAGAAGTGAAGCATAGAGTATTAGGTATAAACAGAAATTAAAATAAAATAAAGCAAGATAGAGAAAGAAAAAATGAAAAGAAGTAAATGAATTAAAAAAAACAATAGGAACTGAAGTGGAGAAAGATCCACCACAGTACTATCAATGACAAATGAGCTAAAATTAATATAGGTGGGATGTAAATAAGAGGGGAAAAGGAAAAAAAAGAAATGTTTAAGAGATGTGTAGAAGAAAGGGAAGGGATTTTTGAGGCAATAGAGAGAGAGGGAATACTAAGCATGATGTACAAAAAAAAACAGGCTAAGACAGGGAAAAATTAAATCTGAAAAATTAAAATTAAAATGGGATGAAAAAGAAAAAAAAATAAAGGCAAAAAGATACAAAAAAGGAAAAAAGGCTGGATGAAAGGAAAAAAACATACTAAGGGAAAAATTAAAATCTGAGATGAAAAGAAAAAGGAAAAAGAAAATAAAGGAAAAAAAGGCTGGGTGAAAGAAAAAAATGGGCTAAGACAGGAAAAAATTAAAATCTGAGGTGGAAAAAAAGAGTAGGAGATGGGAACAGTGAACTTTGATTTTTGAAATACAAAATTAATGAAGATCTAGAGATAAAATTGAAAAAGTGGAAAAACAACTACCCTATCCACAACCAACGAGCAAAGATTGCTAAACATGGAGAAGAACCTGGTTATTTTAAGAGTGGGAAAAGGAACTTGAGATGACCATTGACAAGAAATTTGGTTTTGAGAGCTTGGATGGGGCAGACATAGTAAGAGTGCTCAATGTAAAAAACTTGTAGTCAGAGAAAACAAAATTTAAAACAAAAATAAGAGGAAAGAAGGTAAAATGGGGTAGGAGAAGGGTGGGACAAAATATGTGAAATGAAATAAACTATAGTATAAAATCTAAACTATATAATAGACATATATATATGACTATCTATATATAAAACTTAATATGCTCAAATTGAATGACAAGAAATGGATGTTAAAAAGCTATGCAAGGAAAGAAAGTATCACAAATCATGAAGAAGACCATGGTGAGTTTCATCTTGGTAGCATCTAGCATTTACCACTGTTTTTCTTTCTGGATTGGTGATTCAGATGGTGACCCCATCTGACCTTTGGCAGTCTGTTCGAGACTATCTAGGATTTTCTGTCTGTGGCTGACTCCTACAGTTGTTAATCTAGTCACTCTGCACTCTGCACTCAGCAGTCAGACTTAAGCACCACAGGGCAGGGCAGAATCCTTCCTGGGGGTGGGGCTATTTCTACCCCTCAGGCTGCTGCCACCAGAGGTCAGTGGTCTTCCTGAGCAAGATGGCTGTTGCTGTATGGGGGATGATTCAGCACCAGGATCTCTGTGGCTACTCTCTCAGTTCTCTCCCCAAAGCCTCCTTCCCCAGTCTCTCCTCAAGTGCCTCTAGACCATTCTGCCCCAACTTTGCCAGAGCCCAGAGTGTGTCTGCAAATGAAAATTTATGTGTTGGCTGTTTAAATGGCTCTTTGCCTCACCAGCCATCAGTCTCTGGCAGAGAGTAACCCTGCCATGTTTTGCACCTGGATGTTATCTGTGTACTTTTCAGGCTCTGGTGCTATATGCTAGAGATTCCAGCTTAGGGTTTAGACCCCACACCTCTCAGAGGGATCCAACCAGCCATTTAAATATCTCTCTGGGGCTTCAGCTGCCACCTGTGGGTGCCCAGCCAGCCCTCTCATGTCTCCACTGCACTTCCTATCAGTCACGTTGTGCCGAAGGTGATTCTTCTGTGGTTTTAAGGATTCTCTCTCGCTATTGTTCAGTTGTTTGTTCTGGGTGATTTCTCCACAATATAGTTGTAATTCCAGATTGGCCCTGGGAGGAGGTTAGTGTAACTTCCACTCACTCCTCTCCCATCTTGGTTCCCCAATAGGCTGTACACCTTTTAGCATGAGGTATACTCTCATATGTATTTGATCAAAATTTTTTAAAGTACCTCCTTCCTGAAGGGCCACATGATATATGAATCAGGAGCCTTCGAAATAAACTCACCTTTTGACCTAGAAATTCCACTTCTATAATGCCTTCTACATAAACAACCAGACAAATGTACAAAGATGTGGCTGCACAAAGTTGTGTTATTACAGCAATTATTATAATGATAAACTGGAAATAACCAATAGAAAAGTGGTTATAAAAGACGGTTGTAAAATAAAAGGTCACTTCTATACCTTAGGTATTTATGTGTTATTATGTATTAAGATTTTTAAGATTTGGAATGTTTATACCAAAATGTCAAAATGATAAACTTTGGATGTCAGTTATCCATGACTCAATATTTTTATTTTTTATTAGCCTTATGTGAATTACCTGGGTTTTCTAATTTTTTTTTCTAAAACTGTTATATATTGTTATTTATAATATTATTTTTTAGATAACACAGGCCAGTCAACCCAACTTTAAAAGGTTGGAGGGTACTTTTAATGATAATTGCAAAATCAGTTTTGGTAAAAATTCTAAATCCCTCTTGAGAACTATATTTCAGAGACTCCTATTTCTATCCTCTGTTTCAAATTCATGGGCCCTCCATATCAGAAAAATTCCCCATCAGGCCCAGTGCCATAACCACACATGGTTCTTACCATGTAAGCTCTCCAGAATGACTGGATCCTCAGTGCTGCTTCTTCTTCTGTCAGCAAGAGAGAGAGTGGGATAGGTGGCCGGGGGCTGAAAAGCAATAAAATGGTTGTATGCCAATAAGAATCCACCCTTCAGCCCAGCAAGACCTTTGACAACATAAGTGCCTCATTCATTGGCAGAAAAGTTTAGACCTGAGTTAGCATTTTTTATTTTAAAATCTGGGATAACTTTTTTTTGTTTGTTTTTAACCAGCATAATCTTAAATCACTATTAGCCTGCTCTTCTTTGAAGGACCGAGGTTGGTATAGGTGTATGTCAGTCCTGAAAGTAAAACATACATGTTATTGACCTAAGTCTATGGACACAGAACAAGAGACAGAGCAGAAGGGAACTCCCAACACTGCATTATGACTGACACATAATAAAGGGCTCTTTTCCCAATTTTCTACTGAAGGGAAATTAAATAATCTGTCTCTTTCCTGAAAGCAAAATATTGGAGTTTATCTCTGATTGGTATGCATTCCAGTTTAATGAGGTATAAATTCAAGAGTATTGTTTAAGCTCTACTGTATCTTAATAAGCAATAAAATGTCTCAAGTGCTGTATCAGCTGACAAGTGTCTGCTCTAGTGGGATTTTGCAAAATGTAATTCTTGATCATAGACACCATATTTAAATGCCATGGTTGAATTATCTTTTCTTTTTCTCTTGAAACTTTTATAGAGATACTAACTGCTAACAAGAACTTACAAGTCTGACATAGTGTTGGTTCCTTATGCTTCCTCAAAGCACAGAGTCCTCTGAAAAGCAGGGTTCAAGATATTTCAGATGTAATACAAAAAAAAATAAACCTCTGAAAGGACATGGGTCACATGAAGGCTGTTCCCAGAGCAGGATCCTCAAAATAACTTTGCAAATGAGGGGCTCCAAAGTGCCCTGGCCTTTGAGCTCTCCATAGTAACTGCCATCACTTGAGTTTACAGTAAGTCCTGTGTACAGAGAGGTTGACTAATCTGTCCAAGGTCACGCAGCTTGTAAGTGGGCTAGTCAAGGCCTACGCCCATCCAATCCCAAAGGCCAGGCTTCCCTCACAATGCTGTGCTCACACCAGACCTCTACTGGGCAAACACTTAGAGAAGCCTAGGCTGGCACAGACTTCAGGATCTGAGCTTTTATTTCACTTTAAACTTTGACTTAAAAACAACCACCACCAAAGAAACCTCACCAATGTGTGAATGAATGAATGCTCTTTTGAATTATTCCAGAATTAAAGAAATCAAAGCTAGGAAGAACCTTGGAGGTTAGCAAGACCATTTCTAGTGGTCAGTGATATTGCCAAGTGCTGGTTCCCTGCCACAAGGTCCTTCCTTTCTAACATATCAATAAAGGAGATTCTTCTACTTCAAAGAGACAATTATACCCTTGAAATGACGGCAATCTTAGAAACCTTTCCCTAATGTCCTATTTCCATTTTGATTTGAATGATGTGGTGTTTTGTTGTGTTTTTTTTTTACTGGTTCTATTTTTGTTTCATTTCTTCTTGTCTATTATCTGTTTCTTTGGGCTGTAGTGGAGCAGTCATATTTTGCTGGAGGTGCATCAGCTCCCTGCTTTCCACAGTAAGTGTCTCTCTTCGTCAACCATTATTCTCTAAATCTCAGTGTGTGACATCAACAAATCTCATCCCTTTAGTAATTTTCCTTCACTAGTTAAAAGACAACAGCTTCTAGGAAGACCTCAGTGTTTCTCAGGAAATCTTGGTGTGCCAGGAGTGAATTTAGGAGAACAATGCTATCATGCGTTAATACTAGCTGATATTTACAGAGAGCCTTCCAGACTCCCCTTCTGCTAGACTTGCTCCTTGTGCTGCAGCTGTGCTGGCCCTTTTAATCTCCTCCAATGTGTCCTCCCACCTCAGGGCTTTGCTGAGGGTTTTCCTCTGCCTTCAGGGTCCTCCTGCTCCAGGCAGGACACTGCATACACTTGTTTCTCTTTCGAGGGCACCCAGCTGGGCAGAGAGAATTCAAACCCTGCCCAGCTCTGCTTGGGACGCCATGGTCAAGGGTGAGGGCTGCATCTGCCCTAGGCTAGGAGTGTCTTTCCCTAATTTGCTCAAAAGCACCTAAGGGTTGGGGGAGCTGACACCTTTTTTTCCCAATTCACCCTTATTCTTTCTTCCCATCTCTACTTGAATGCTATTGAAGGATTTCTTTTGATTAGGTCAGGGCCCAGTGGAGTTCTGTGCAATTTTCTTTTCTAGTCCTTGGCCCAATTTGGAGATAGAAATCTGTGTGATTATCTAATTAATGCCCAAATCCTCAACTGAACTGAAAGCACCACAAGGGCAGAGACAGGATCTGTGTTTGCTCCTCTTGGTAGTTCCAGCACTCAGGACAATGCTTGCCACATTGTAGATGCTCAATAGATATTTGTGACATGAGCCTCTGTGTCTGGTATAGTGTGCTAAGAACTTTCCACACATAATTTCATTAAATCCTCACAACATTAATAATGAGTTATTGTTATTCTTCTTTCAGAGCGAAGAAACTCAGGCACAGAAGAATGAAGAGACTTGTTCAAGGTCACTGACTATTTTCTGCTGAGAATGCAAACTGACCAAGAAACACAGAGAACGGCCCAAAGAGAAGAGCAGGACAGCTCACAAGGTCACTAGCAGGAAATAAATGATCTCACAGCTACAAGTGTAAAAAAAGGTACCCAGTCACTTGCCTAGAAGAAGAAAATGAGGGTGAAAAAGCCATAATCATAGAAAATACCCTCTTCATCAATCCTTACAGTAACAACTTGGCATGCATTCCCTTGTTTGAAGCTCCACAGGGACTGTCAGGACAGCAGAACAAAGTGGAGTTTGTCACTTGTATCTGGGGGAGATTTGATTGCACCTTTTCTTTCAACTGCAATTTTTCTGCTTTAAATATGTTTTCTCTCCTAATGTCATGAAATAATCAAAGTAACAGTATTCCTATTTTGGAACAGCAGTAAGAAAGGAGAACTGAAAATCTGGGAGCATCAGGCTGGTTGGGCTTTCACCAGTAATGAAACCCTCAATTGCTCTGCATCACAATGATATTTCCAAAGGTGAAATTAGATTTCTAATAGGCCTTTCAGCAGTAATATGGGGCCATGATTAGTGACATCTCTGCTGTCATGGCTAAATAAGAGGTGCTGTTTAGTTCTCAAACCAAGAATAAGTATGAGAAGCAGTGTAAGTCAGACCAAATGGAACAGACTTAATATTCAGAGAGTCATCCCTGGGAATTATCAATTATTTCAGCAGGCAAGCTTGCAGGCAAAGAAGCCATGCCAGGCCCTTTTCTTTCTTTTGGAATCAGTGCGACTGGCTTCAGGTCAAATAAAAATAAGAGATTGTATAGAGGCAACCACTAATCATAGGGAACCAAAAAGGGAGAGAAGACGGGCATGTCAATCATAGGAGAAGGCAGCTGAGGCTCCTCAAGTATGTAAATCAGATATCCCCAGAGCAGACTGGTTTGTGTGTCTCAAAGGGCAAAAGTGTACTGCTGAGTATTTTTCCAATAAGACTTGTTTTATTGGTAATGCTCATTCGTCACACTCTTCTTTTTTTTCAAATTAATTCATGTAAATTAAATATATATGGATCTCAATAATCAATGCTTTAATTCTGAGAAGGAACAAGAATTAACTTTCCTTATTGTATGTGTATGTACACACACACACACACACACACACACACACACACACACACACCCCTTTTCCCCCTTTTTTGGATCCTAAGTAAAAGATCTAAGGATCTAAGGAAGATATAGCATGCTTATAATACACACACGAGAATCTGAGAAGTTAGTTTTTTTTTCTTTTTCTTTTATTGATTCTAAAGAGGGGTGAAGGGAGGGAAAGAGAGGGAGAATCATTGATTGGTTGCTTCTTGCATGAGCCCTGACTAGGGACTGAACCTGCAAACCAAGCATGTGCCCTGACTGGATATCAAACCTGAGACCCTTCAGTTTATAGGATGATGCTCAACCAACTGAGCCACACCAGCCAGGGCTGAGAAGTTACTTTTTATTAATTTCTCCACCCAGTTCTAAGACAAGAGGTACCATCTAAAATGGCATTTAAGCAAAATAAGGCAGAAAGGAGAAAAGCTTGCTTTTTCCTTGAATATTGAAAATTGAATTCAGGGTCCAAATTCTATCCACTTCTCATTAGGTATTCACTAAATTGTTTTCTTGGAACATGAGGGCACAAAGCTATTTACAAAATGACATAGAGCCTAAGTCAACCATTCCATGAGGCCTTCCATGAGCCTAGTATTTGATAATGTCTACCCTCATACTCAGTAAAAGAGTTTACCCATCCCTGCTATCAGCCTTCACTGGTTTCCCAAACATTCCTGTTGAAGACATCACAGTCTTGAGTAATGAATTTCAAATATTTGGAAGAAAGACAACAGAGGTCAACTGGAATGGTCCATCCAGACATGGAGTGAATATCCATTAGGATGGACTCTCATAGGATTTTTTCACTCCCAGTCTTTTGTGATGTGAGGAGTGACTCCAAAAAACAGTAGAGAGAGCTGGCCGCCTGACTCTAGGGGCCTTAAAGCACATTCCGAAATCACCATTACTATAACATGATTTTCTACCTGCTCAGCGAATCCACCCTGGAAGGCCAACAATCAGTTATTACCCAGCATCAGGCTGAATTATTCTCCTAGGTAGACACAGAGTTGAGTCCTAGTTTACCACCCTCTCACTGGAAGATGCATATGGGCTGAGTTACCAGTGCTCACTATACAACCTGCTGCAAGACCACATGCTCACCTTGGGCTGCACGTATAACTGTTAAAAATAAGGGCAGTGAGACTTAGGCTTTTTAATAAATATATCCTGATGGCTGTCTCCCTCCTCCTGATCCAGATGGTGAGCCCAGACAAGGCACAGGTGGGTGGAGAGGTGAGGGTTTACAGGAAGAGCAGGCCATCTTCCTCCCACCAGTAGGAAAGCAGCCTTCCTACCCATTCCAAAACAGTTGGTTTGACAGTTTGGAGTCCTTCTCAGAATGGGTCTCTTTAAAGATAGATAG